AGACAAGGGAACCTGAAGAGACCTTGGTCCAGGCATAGTTAGAACGTCACGGCTTGCCAAGAATACATGAATAAAAGAGTACACCAAACCTATAGGCTCCTGACCGTGAACATTTCTATTTATCTCACTGAAGGTTACACAATTGTACAATTCTGCAACACTTCTTAGTCAAGTGTAGATTCACACAATCTCTCCATGAAGTAATTCACGTACCACAGAGCTATGGCTTATCCTTAACAGCTTTCTGATTGTGACAGTTTATCTTCGGGATTATGGAATTACGAAGAAATGAATGCCAGCAGATAACGCATGCCATTATATAGTTTAGTCATTTACTTGTATTTTAAATCGGCAGTGGTGTATAATGGTCATTATCTATTATTAACGCAGGAATTAGATGTACCCTGCTGTCACTCTATCAGAAAAGGCTTCTTCCATCCTAAGGAGTGATGGGTGCAGATGGTTCAGAACCAAAGGACCATAAAAGGCACTTATTATAGTGACAGACTCTGATGAGGTCCATCTCTGCTTGGTGCCATAGTTGCATTTACTGAGTGATCGTGATCTAGGTTATTTGATACAACTTCCATTCATGGATGTAAAAGTATTTTATGCAACTAAAGAAAAAAAAAATCATGAATCATGCCACTCACTTTCTATGTCAAAACATTAACACATATTCACATATTTACGTTTAACTGTTAATTTACATCCATACACCGAATGTGTTTGTTGTGCTTTTATTTGAAATTGAAAATACAATGTGAAAAATTACAATTTAATATAACTGTTTGTTTTCTATTTTAATGTATTTTAAAATGTAAATTTATGTTTTGTGATGGCAAAGCTGAATTTTCAGCAGTTTTTGTGCTGTCACAATCTTTCTTATATGCTTATATTGTGCTCAAGATACATTTATTATTAATATCAATGTTGTACATGGTTGTGCTGCTTAATATTTCTTAATATAACATTTATTGATGAATATAAAGTACAAAACGAAACTACAGTATTTTAATCAACTTAATGCATCCTTGCTGAATAAAAGAAAGAAAGAAAAAAAATCCTTACTGATTCCAAACATATGAAGAGTAATCTCTGTCTACTGTAGGTGTATACATACATTTATATCCATATAGTAAATATTCAAATACACAAATAGCACTCAAATAGCAGTGTGTGTTTGTTTGTAGACAAACTTTCACTCAACTGTTGGAAAACATAGACTTAAATGCAGAGGGAATCAAATTAATAGTTTATTAAATGTTTAAAGACAAATATGTTCATCAGAAATGATCAAGTCCACTTGATACAGTAGCTGAGGAAAACAAGTGCTGGACATTTTCCTGGGCTGGATAATTAAATGTTGGAATTTGCAAAAAGGTGCCAGAGTCCACTGGAAAATCCAATCACATGTAAATCCAAATGGCAAAAAAAAAAAAAAACCTTGGTGACAGAACATTAACATTACACTGGTAGAGAGAGCATTAACACACCAATACAAGGACAAGACAAACAGAGGATGTACAACGTATATAGTCTATATATACAGTATATATATATATATATATATATATATATATATATATATATATATATATATATATTATCAATACAGTACAATTACAGTATATATCAAATATTATTTGACAATGCTTCAATATCCGACGCTTAAGGCACCCTTTAGCGTCAGGTACATGAAGCGATTCTAGGGTGTCATTTAACTGACGCTAAAGTCTGACTGATATATCCCTCAGGTGCTCTTCGTTTCGGAGCCACACTTGTAATCTTCCCGGTCAAAAGTGACCGGACAATTCCAAACCAATGCAATTTATTTTTGTTCTATAATATTTATTCTTTTTAATTTAGTATTTTGAGACAATTTAATTGAATTTATGAATATTTATGCAATATTTATGGTTTATTTTTGCCATGGAAAAATATTTATATATATATATATATATATATATATATATATATTATTTTTTTTCAACAAAATATTAATGCAGTATTTTAGTTTAATATAGAGTCTAGGCCTTCAGAAAAAAAATATATTTTTTGAAGAAAATTAGCACCATATGGTTACAGTACAGAGAAAAAGTGTAGAATCATGGTGTAACCACTAGATAGCATGGACAGCTCTCTATGGAGAGGCATGTGAATTCCCCACCTGTTTATGAACACATTTTGTTGTTGTTGTTGTTGTTGTTGTTGTTGGTGGTGGTGGATTTGTATATATAGTTGAAACAATCTCAAAAACTATTTCTTATAAAAAAAATTACAAAAAACAAATATTCACAATTTTTTTTTTTACAATTTCCCATTCATTTCCTATGGGGGTCATTTTTGACCAAAGACCACAAGTGTGACTATTTTTTTAAGACCATTTAGCATGCTCAGATCAGATTGTGTGTGTTCACATACATAATGCCATAAAATTCACCAAGTTTCATTACATTCTGATGAAGCTGTGATTTTTAAAATTTCAAAACAGAAAAATTTTCGGTCAGAAATGACCGAAGAGCACCTGAGGGTTAAATATTGGAGCAGGTAATGAGTAACAGGTAAGACAATATTGTACTGAGGCAGAGTGTATTCATCAAAACATTTATGGTTTCATTTGTGACAGTAAAGGTAAACACATTGTCTTTCTGTCAAGTATACAAGCAGCTGACGCAACACTATCTCACGACCAATTCGTACGAATTCGACGCATGATTAATTCGTACTAATTCGTACGACCTCACTCGTACTAATTCGTACGATTTGTCTAAACCCACGTGATGGTTAGGTTTAGGGGCGGGGTCAGGGGTAGGTCATTCGTACGAATTCATACGAATTGGCCAATTCGTAAAATATGTACGATTTAGCAAAATCGTATTAATTCGTACGAGTGAGGTCGTATGAATAGTTACGAATTAGCCATACTAAAATGAGGAGAAAGCTACAGAAAAAAGGGAAACAAAAACACCAGCCATCTTATAAAAGATATTGGGAACTGTTTTCAAAGCACTTGACTGATGAGTATCTTCCTACAACAGAAGGACAGATTACTGTTCAATCCCTCTCTCTCTGATATTCCGCCTCTTACAGTCTCTCGATTTCTCCCTCTCAATCTTATATAGTTTCTCATCTTGCGCTCACCACACTGAGTGCTCTTAAATTCTCTTTCTCACCATCTCTTGAGCACCAATACTTCAATAATGGGCAAAAGCCTAATTTCAATAGTGTTCTAGCCCAGTTTCTCCCTTTATCTCTCTCTCCCTTTCAGTTTCTCTCTTCCTTTCTTTGTTGGTGAAGTGCTAATGGGAGTGTAGGGGTGAACAAGTGCTACATTATTGGCAGGCAGGCAGCTGGGAGGGAGGGCTGTTTTAGGATTCAGCCAGAGAAGCACTCTGCTGCACAAGCCTGTTACTCCAGGGACAACTCTGGATTAGTGGTCAGATTTGGTGGCACATCCTTCAATTCCATTAGAAAGGACATGTTTGTATGTGACTTGTAGCACACATGCCTTACAATGACAAAAAAAAAAAAAAAACATCAAAGATCATTCAAGACAACAATCTTGATTTTATATCATGCTTGCTAATATGTTTTTACTAATCTTTACATAAAATACTTAAGTCATACTACTACTGCTACTAATAATAATAATAATAATAATTGACCAATATATCACATGATATTTTTTTTCCATCATTTAATTGTATTTTTATGTACACTCAAAAATAATCATGATTTTAATGGTAAAAGTGCAAGACTGTTACTTGGTTAACAGAAGTTTCCTTACTATATATGGTAAATAACTGTGATAGATCTATCTAATGGCACATTTAATCTAATTTTATTGCAATCTAAAATTAAATCTAATTTTACAATTAATCTAATTTTACTGTTACAGTTTTTGGCAGTGAAAAAGAGTAACTCACTGTATAATTTAAAGTGAAAAAACGTAAATTGATATTTCCACAATTCCTTGTGCGAAACTTCGCATTTGATGTATTTCTGTTGAAATACTTGTTTCTTCATAGTTTTATTAGTTTTTTTTTTAATCAGTTATGTACATTAGAGTTTTATGTTGCATGTTGTTAAATTTGTGTTTATTGTATTTTTTTTAAATTTCATGCAGGCCTTCTAATAATTATTAACTATTGTGTGAAAGAGTTGATCAAGTGACTTTCATCCCTGTTATAATTGATGGTTATCAGTTATTAATTCTAAAAAATGTCAGTAAATTAACATTATATCAGTTAATGAACTATGGTTTATTACTGTAAATTTTAAGTTAAGCCTGTAAAACCAATAACGTTGCTATACTATATTGTTGACTGTAAAGTTCTGGCAACCACAGCTATTTTACCGTAAAAAGTATGGTTATTTTTTACAGTGTACATCTGGCTTATATTTGCCACTGGCCACCTTGCACCATAGTTTATTTCCCATTACTGCATCCCTGCTAAGGCAGGCTCTCCGACTCCTAGGCTCTAACAGTAGGCCTAATAATACAGTGCGCACTAAATTGTTGTTCGTATTTAAAGATTCAAAGCTGAAACAGAATAAATCCTGACTTTTTGGAATCCTGTGATACACGAATGAAATAATTTGAATGTATTACTTTGATATTAGATGTTACTTTCAGATATTACTTTGGAATATACAGTTTAACACTGTGTTTTGGAACAGACATGCATATCAGCTTCTCTGAGATGGCCATTGTTGATGCTAGCAGGTCATTGGAAAATTGAACAGCCACCATGTTCCAAAATCATTTTGACCAAATAAAAGCTGGTTTGATCTTCGTGATCCATATGGTCTACCTCATTGCTGTAACTAATGACCATCTAAGACCCACTAAACAGTTACCAGTTTAATCTGGATTTCCCAGCAGGGAGGAGAAGAAATGCAGATTACCTCCATGGTAGCCTATTATTATAACCAGAGGCAAATGATGGCAGAAGAAGATTAAGGGTATACGTTTAATCTGAGATATCGGAGTTTCATATTAAAATGCAATACATCTGGTCGTGACGCAACGGCTGTTAATTTATTAGACGCTTGTTGATCTCGCAGAGTGAACCGCATGAAGAAGCGTCTTTTATTTCCCAATGATTTGCTGTGTATACGTCCGCTACGGTTTCCCTCTTATTGGTCGAGCCGTATGCTGATTTGAGAGACAGAGACGGTTAGTTTTCTCCCGAACCCCGTCAGTCTGTCAGTGGTCTGGAAATACCAAAGCGTCTTCTCGCTGCTTACGCGCTCGCTCTCACACAAAGCAAAGCAGAGGGTTCCGGTGGCGCGAGCTGGAACGATCCACTGATGTCGCTTCTTCGTTTAGGTGTTTAACTGCTCTTTAAAAACGTCGAGGGAATCTCATCCTCCGACGTTGGGCTTTTTTTTTTTTTAGTTTTTGGATTTTTTTTTTTTTTTTCCAGGGTTTAGACGCAGGATTGTTTTGTGATGGGTGGTGGAAGCGAATCACGGATTTCTTCTCTTTTTATGGAGACCAAAGTGAACAGATTTCATACTGTTGAAAGCAAGTTTTATCTTGATAAAAAGCAAATGGTGGAACAGAGGATTCTTTAGGAGCGAAGGATAGTTACTCAAGATAACAACACTTTTCAAACACAGTTTTCTCAACAGAAAAGGGGGTTTTCTGGTCCGCTACATTGGATTTAACATTTTGTTTGACTGACGCAGCATCGTTTTGGGAGTATCTTATTTGGAGATTTCAGTCCTTTTATTCTACATTTTGGGAAAGAAACTGTATATTTAAAAGAATAAACCCGGAGACGAAGTTATGGAGATGCCGATGAAATAAACCCTTTATCTCCGGGTCAAATGACCGCTTTCACTCGTTCTCCAATCTAACCACATTATTTATGACATGGAAAAACGGGGACTCCACAGCGTCCTTTATTATTTCATTCTGAATGCGCCCCTGCTATTCTGTGTAAAAGGTGAGTCAACTTGGGCAGATTTCTCTCCCACGTTGCGTATTTACTCAGCGTGAACAGTCTGTTGAGATTCTCCACTTTTTTTTTCTTCGTTTCGTGTTTTTTTTATTTTATTTATTTTTTATGAATACTGTACTTGCAAGTTAAATAGCGTGTTCATGCCATATCGTTGCATGTTCAGCCTGCAATTTAATGAAAATGTAATAAATTATGGCTACGTGTAGAGAATTGACCATCCTCCCAACCGAACCACTCAAGTATACGCCTACTCAAGTCAGATACAATTTATAACAACAAACAAATGTTAGTCACATCTGACATAGCCTATAGGCCTATTAGTATAGGCTATGTTATAGCCTATCTATTTGAGGGGTTTCTTTTAACCAAACTATCTGTTGTTGTTGATGTGTTTTCTTCATAAGCCACATTTACTGAAGTGCCCAAAGATGTAAGTGTCGGTGAGGGCGAGGACATAGAGATGCCGTGCGCTTTTCGAGCCGTCGGAGTCTCGCCGTTCTCTCTGGAGATTCAGTGGTGGTACCTCAAGGAAGCGGCCCCTAAAGAGCTCACTCACGAACTGCAAATTAGCGCTCCGGCCAACAGAGCCAAGGTAATGGGGCTTTTGCTGTTTTAAAAGCTGCCTAAACACAGGCATTTTCAGTTTAAGTTCTTATTCGACTAGTAAGACGGGCTGGGCTTTGCAGAAGATGGATCCCTCCTGATGAGCGATCCCAACTAAACACACTCAGGCTATGAGTTATACGTCGTTGAATCAAGTTGGGTTGTGTCTGTGGGTGGGCATTTAGAAGGAGGATACGAGCGTGATGTCATGATAGATTGATAGAATTAATAAAGACATAAATAAACAAACGAATAAAGTGTTTAATGCTTGGTTCATTATGTAGACCACAAGTAAAAAAAAAAAAAAAAAAAATCAGAACTTTCAATTACTGACAGACCAAAATAAAAAAATACCAAAAATAAAATCTACTTAGATGAAGCTGAAGGTCTCCTATAGCCTATTAAACATGACATTTGAAACACTCGATGTAAATTGAACCGATAATGGGAATTCTGATGAAACACAAAAGGCAACTGTTGCTGTCCATGGTGCTACTGCCAATAGTGGCCTCTCGTTCATTGTTCATTGTATGAACTTTCACAGCTTCAATAAAAGTTGCCTATTGATATTGTGACACGAATAGCCTAATTAAACTACACTGTCTGGCTACTTATATTGTTTTGATGTTATCTATTACAGGTGACCCACCGGGACGCCACGAAAATAAGCGTGAGTATAAAAATCTGATTGTATTTTTGATAATAACATACAGGCTATGTGATTTTTGCCGCTTGACGAAAGAAACGAATGTCTCTTCAAGAAAGAAACGAGAAAAAAAAATTAAAAGAAAACAACATGTTGGCCTATTATTTAAAATAGATAAACAGGCAAAATAACGATATTGTGACGATCCTTAAATGGTAACGGACAAGCTATTCAGCTGACATGTTTTATACAAATGACTAAATTATAGGCCACATAGACGTTTTTAAATTTAGTTAACAACGCACACATAAATGGCTTTCAGAGAAATCAATTATTTTAAATATATATATATATATATATATCTGTGTGTCTGTGTGTGTGTACACCGATATATCTACACCCTGGGCTAGCTCAAATCCTATTGCTCAAGAACTTTTGACAGGCTATAGCCTGCATGTGAGATGCGAATCTGAAATAAATAAAGTGATAGTAGGCTACTGACAGTCGTCTACTACCCTACTTAGTCAAATGAAGCCTTAGATACGGTTCCACCATGCACGCAAAGTTCTTGAGCGGCAGTTGCTATGGATACCGATTTCGAAAAGACCTGGGATTATTAGCCTATTATTATTTATTATTTATTTTTTTGCCATTTAAATGTTACATGTGAAGAGTTCAGATGCAAAAGCCTCTAAATGCCATTTGAAATTTTCTTCTTTAATGATGATTTTTATCAAACTTGTATATTTAAGTTCAGTAATTTCACTTAAATAACAATTAATAGGTAATTATCATTGCCATTTAAGTGAAATTACTGAACTTAAATATACAAGTTTGATAAAAATCATCATTAAAGAAGAAAATTTCAAATGGCATTTAGAGGCTTTTGCATCTGAACTCTTCCTGTGTACTTTTATATAACAACAAGTTGTCCGCCAAAACCACCCTCATAGTTTGGATATGTTTTGTTTAATGGTTAAATAATATGAAACATAGCCTAGGCTTAATTTAAAAAAAAAAAAAAAAAGACTGGGTTGCAAAAATCGCTAATTTCAACAAAACTTCTTGTCTCTTTGTGAGCAGACGGTAAGGGTCCAGGGCAACGCCATTTCCCACAAGCTCAGCCTATCAAGTGTGCGAAAGGAGGAAGAGGGAGTGTATGAATGTCGGGTTTTGGACTTGTACTCTGATGAGACTCAGGAATACAAGGTGCAGGCCACTCTGCGCGTGACACCGCGCGAGGGAATGCTGGCCGAGGAAGCCGTGTCTCACATCCAGAACCGATGGCCACTGAGGAACAGCAACACAGGTGGAAGGGCTACTTCTGAACCGGTCCAGGGTCAGGGAAAACCCCGCGTGCCTCCACCGGTTGGAATGGGACCCGCTCCCTCCTCAACGACTACGACGGGATCTGCAGTCAAGTCGTCTGCTTCGCCTCGGCCAGGCAATTCATCTATCCAGAGACAACAGCACGGATCCGGTGAGTGACAGTACAACAGCGACACTGAGCGGCCGAGTGAGGAAAAATTAACAGGTGTTTAGTGTTTGAGAGGTTTTTTTTTTTAATGGAATTAAATTATGAAGCCATAATGTAAAACGAATTGATTTGGAGTTTATAGTGTTTACTATTATGTGGCTCATATTGAATTTCAGAACATTTAGTTCTATTAAATTACTGAAATATAGCCTACAATTAAGGCCTTTAATTCTGATGTTATTTCCATGATATAATTTAGCAGATTTAGCTTTTAAAATACCTCTTTAGTGTGCTGTCTATTTCTGAAATAGCCTTCCGAGTCAAAAAACTGTGTGTGTGTGTGTGTGTGTGTGATGGGAGTAGGCAATTAACTTGTATTCCCCTACCCCTAAAAAGGTGAATCCTGTCCATAAACATTGCTTTTCTATCATTGGGACTGGCATTGACTTTTTTGTTTTTTTACTGTGCTAATGATATTTTATTTATCTTAGCCCTAAGCCTATTCCTCCCAGACCCGTCTTTGCATTTATATAGATTTTCATCAAGACATCATTTAGTATTTTTACTAAATCGGGACATTTGTCTGCCAACCCCCCACCCCCTGCTTTCAGGTTTAAACTATCACAGTGCGGCATTTGGTCACCACAATGTATGGGATTGTTGACCCACGCACACACTTATCAATGAAGCACATCACAGAATAATCACATTGGCTGGGAGGTTTAATTTGTCACCCTTCCATACCAAACCTCTACTCTATCTGCTCAGGCCAGGAGAAAATTGTGTGTTTGTGTGTGTGTGTGTGTGTGTGTGTGTGTGAGTGTGAGAGAGAGAGAGAGAGAGAGAGAGAGAGAGAGAGAGAGAGAGAGAGAGAGAGAGAGAGAGAGAGAGAGAATCAGAGAGAGAGAGAGAAACTTTATGTATTGTACACTCTCTGTGTGTGAAAATCCAAGCAACAAAAGCACAATGAAAGCTGTTTGGCAACCCCATGTCTTTCTTAAACAGGATGTGGCATTGCGATCTGTCCAGCCTTAGAGCATCAGTCTCGACCCTTCTTGTCTCTTTATGACCGTTGTGCAGTGTGACAGAGGAGGTTATCAAGATATCACCTTGTCTCTTTAACTCTGGCCTCAGGGGTCAGGGCCTCTATTTATTGGGGTCTTCATTGGAGATTTAGAAGCTTGGGTATGTTCTGACTCTGGATTCTGTCACTGCGGGAGTGAATCCTGCAGACAAAGGAGGGCGATTACATCAAGTCTCTAGCTGAGCCAGAGGAGTTTGTTTGTGGCAGGGATGCATTACCCTGCAGTGACTTACCTTGCTGTGGACTATGGAGTGATACAGTGAATTCAGAAGTGTGCAGTCCCTGTCAATAGTTGCGTTCTAGGGCTCCAATGGTGAACAAGAACTGATATCATCCTGTTCATCACATTTTATAACTGTAACATTTCACTTCTTCTCTTGAGAATGTTAAGTTATTTTTTTTAGATTTTCATAATATATTTAGTTAAAAATGTTTGAAATTCTACAACCCTGATCAGGAAAGTAATCATATTATGTGTAACATGAATTTGCATTTAATTTACAGATACACTACCGTTCAAATGTTGGAGGCCCTTAAGATTTTTAATGTTTTTTTAAAGAAGTCTATTATGCTCACCATGCTTATGCTTTCAGAAGTATTTGAAAAAGCAGTATTATTGTAAATTAGTACAGCAACAAATATTCCTGACAAAGCTGTATTTTCAGTATCATTACTCCAGTCTTAAGTGTACATGGTCCTTTAGAAATCATTCTACTGATTTAGTGCTCAGCACTAAATATATTTGATCTTATTATCGATGTTGTAAACGGTTGTGCCATTTAATATTTTTGTTGAAATAAAATAATACTTTTTGATTTTTGGTGAAAAGTAAGTTTAAAAGAGCAGTGTTTATTTGAAATAGAAATCTTTTGTATTAATGTTTTTACTGCCACTTATGATCAATTGAATGTGTTGTTGCTAAGTCTTTAAAAAAATTCTTACTTATCATAACAGTAGTGTATACCTTTGAGGCTTCAACAAATTTCCTTGTGCAAACTAAAATGTAATGTAAAAATGTAAAAAGTAAAAATGTAAAAAGTTTAATAGACTAGTAAATTGATTTTCTATGCAATCTTTCTTGATAAAGAAGCTTAAGCAGCGGGATGCATTTGATGATATATAAAACTGTGACACATGCTGTTTTGGGAACATGACAACTGTGTGGATATATACAGTACATCAGTGTTGGTGTGTGTGTGTGTGTGTGTGTGTGTGTGCGCTACCATGCATTACTCAGCCAGCCCTGTCTTTAGTGCAGCCAGACATGGAGGCAGCCATTTGGCGAGGAAGCATGTCGGACATTAAGTGGGCCAGTGCTCTGATCCTCCAGGGTATATCATTACAGGCTTTATCCCTACAGTATATCCCCCATTTATTCAGATACCTCATGCATTATTGTTCTCCCTTAGAATTGGTGAAATTTAGAATTGTAATACAAAATCAATTAACCATTTTTTTTTTTTTTTTTTACATTAATATGTTTTTGTGTAATTAGGTACTTTGACTTTGCTCGGAAATACAAACCATGGTTTAAAATCATTAGTGGTTTGGGTCAATGCTAATTTATCCCTGACAACTACAGATCACAATAACGGGCATTATGGGATTTAAAAAAAAAAAAATGAAATGTATTGTTTAGTTTAAAAAAATATTTTAAAAAAATATGTTTTAGACTTATTTTTGTTTGTGGGACTGTGTACCTTTGCATTGAATATGATGGAGATCCTCTATTGCACTTATGAATGTGGCAAGGGATTTTTTAAGCCTGTCTCTCTCACAGAGTCAGGCAAATTGATTCAAAACATGCCAAACGATGCTGTTCATGTGTCTGTAAGTGGCACATTTAACATGGACAGAAAAATCTCAAATTTATCTTGGCTTTCTCTTTCCCCCCTTTTGGTTAAGAGCTCAGATTTTGTCATTGTAGTGAGAAGGTTAAAAAGTCATCTGCCACATTTGAAGAATTGCACCTTTCAGTTCTGACCACGGTGTCAGCTTTTGAGAACAGAAAGAAAATTCACCCCTCGCTGCTCACACTCACTCTCTTTCTTTCTCACAGACACACACATTCTCTTTTGGAAACATGTATATGTCACTTTTCCACAATGTCATCTCATTGAGTGGCAGAAACAATTCATATTTTAAAGGAATGCCACTGACAGGAGCTGATAAGCTTGGCTTTCCACACGCTGTCAGGTGCATCAAATTGCCTCTTGCTGCTTTCACTTCATTTACTGGTTATTTTTTTTTCCCAGCAGGGCTTGGTGGCATGTCTGTCCTTCCTAAGCAGATTAACTCATTTCACTTTTGAGAATGGATACATATTACTAAAAAAACAAAAAGATTACAAAAAATGCTCTTCAAGGAACATTTCCTGTCTGATCGCTCCTCCAATGAGAGTCTCAATCATTAAAATATGTTTTTATAGCTGTGGTCTATATTTAAATGCCATTTGTGGTAATTATACAGGAATGATTTAATAAGTTAATGCATTGTTTCAGGATGATGTTGGTTTTTAATTCTATGCTCATTTCATATTAATGTCCAGCCCGTTCTCATCCTTTAACGTCATATAGAGCGCTATATGCAAAAACGGCGCTATACTACGCACATGGCTCCCTTTATCGTTAATATAACACGCGAACCCAAGACGTTATAAATCCTTTAGCGTGAATATGACACGCACACCCTACCCCACACCTAAACTTAGCCCTCACAGCACGTGTTATATTAACGATAACGGGTGCCATGTGCGTAGTATAGCGCCGTTTTGTCACATAGCGTTCTATATGACGTTAAAGGATGAGAATGCGTTGCAATGTCAGTGCTTTCTGATTGTATAATTAAGCATATAATTTGTCCTTAGGTTGTTTGTGTGTGTGTGTGTGTGTTTAAGGTTTCAAAAAAAAAAAAGGTTTAAGGTTTTTTAAAAAAATAAATAAATAAAACAATATTTAGAACAATGTTTTAACATTTCATACTATGAAAGTAAATGTTTTTGACTTTTGACTTGCATTGTTAAGACAAAAAGAAATCTTCAAAATATGTGTGCGTGTGCATGTGTGTGTGTGTGTGTGTTTCACACAATAATGAAAGTCAAACAGGTTTGGATCGACAATCCAAGAGCAAATAGTTTGTGAGAGCGAGGCTTATGCAATGCCTCTACCCACAATGCATCATGTCACCTCAGGTGACCTTGGCGCCCTTGATAAGTTAATATCACTCCAGCTGCACAGCTGTTTTAATCTAGTCTGTTTGTGTGCGTGTGTGTTCTCAGAACTCTACGTTCTCTCGACATCTAATGCGCTCCGACATCAATCTGGTTATTTTGCATTTGATAATTATACAAAATGCATGTGTGCCAATCCTTGTTGAGTTTTACTTACTTTTCAGCTCATTTTTGCCTTCCACACAATCTGAGGACTTAAAACACCTGTCATCAAATTGCGTTCCGCCTCGAGAGCGAGTGCGGGGGGTTGTGTCGGTGGGTTGATTGCATGCTTCAGAGGAGAAGTCCAGTGTTTAGTGCTGCTGGGCTGCTTTTACACTTAACTGATGAGCCTCATCCAGCTGCAGGCCCCCTGCCGCAGACATTTATTCACTGGATAGGTTTGTGCATTGTCACTATGTGGGACGCACATTAGCACTCATAGACGAGTGTTAATTGTTTCATCTTTGCTTCTGTCATGTTGAGACACTGTGCTCTGTTTGTGTATCTGCTGATTTCAGTTGGGAAATCAAGGGGAGCGTTGTCTCAATCTACAGTAGCTTTTGTTTGGCTTCATGACTCGCATAAACAGAGAGAGAGAGAGAGAGAGAGAGAGAGAGAGAGAGGCAGGTAAGCCTGAAGAAAAGCTTCACAGCATGAATATGTCATGAGTCTGGTTCTTTCTTTCGGTTTTCTTTCCTTTGTCTCCCT